TATATATATATAGAATATTAGTATATATATAGTATATAGTATATAGTATATATAGTATATATATATAGTATATATATCGAATATTATGTATATATAGAATCTTTTATGTATATATAGCATTTTTTATGTATATATATAGAATATTAGTATATATTTTATGTATATATATAGAATATATATATAGTATATATTGTATAATATATAGTATAATATATAGTATATATAGTATATATATACTATATATATAAAATATTATGTATATATTATGTATATAGAATATTTTATATATAGCATATATATAGGATATTAGTATATATAGTATATAGTATATATATAGTATAATATACATATATAGTATATATACAGTATATATATAGTATAGTATACATATATAGTATATATATATAGAATATAGAATATTTTATGCATATAATATATTTTAGTAATTTCTTTTTGGTGCGATAAACTGTACAGCAATCACTTAATGGTATACAACAGGTTTTGCAAATTTGCCATTTTGAAGGTCTAATATCCGATTTGTAACTGTCTTCCGATAAACTATCAATTTACACGTCACTACAATATATTTCAAAATGGAAAGGAAAGTTCTTCGTCGTCATGATTGAAATTTTTGCAGCACTAGAATCGCGATAAAAACTTAAATCTGAATAAAAGTAGTTTTCTTTTTATAGTAATGTGAACACTATTTATAGTAAAGATTTCACAATATCCTACATTATCCTCAGCGTCGAAAATTAAAATAGCTGATGCAAGTGCAAACACGAGTTAACAATGTGTTAAATAAGGACGCGAAGGGCTTCGCCATCTGACCCGGAAGCCGCGATCTCTCATCCCCCTGGTCTTGGCATTTCGAACGGCCCGCAAGCAGAAAATATTCGCACGAAAAGGAATGCATACGCCGGCGTTGCTTTGCGAGGGCCAACGTGACGACCATTGTTCCGTTTCGCATACTCGTTGCCTCAATCTTCTGTACGGTCAGTCAATCTGGAGTTTGCCTCGGGGCTACCGAATTACAATGGAGAAAGAACCGCCTTTCCCCAGCCATAGTTGGCCGCAAACAGGCGTCCAAGTCGGACACAGGTGCATGCAGATAACCGTAGCCGCACAATATGCCGCACACACGTGTAGCTCCTCTCTTCTTTCGTGAAGCCACACACGTTGTTATCTTAAAAACGAACGCGCCGCGCGGCCAAACTTCCGAGCGATCTACGAAATTTGCCCACCGTCAGAATGCACGGACGTTATTAAGTGCATATGTACTTAATAAATAAAATGGCAACGCGATGGGATATTGTACGTGAAAATAATGGATCGTGTAAATTTTTTAGCAAAATACATTCACGTAAGCTCCGACACACGTGCTTTCACAAGGCGGATGTCACGTAAGTGGTAATTTTTCCGTTAAGGTAATTGTAATTACAAAATAACTCGAGGACACGAACGAGTAACAAAGAATTGATAAATTCATCTAGTGCGCACGGGGGTTTATGAAACCACGCGTGGAACAATAAACAGGAAGCATATTTGCGCGAAAAAATATTCCCAATGTAAATTTCACGTGCGCAACGCTGTCCTCGGTAATATAACTGAAAAATACGAGCTACGAGAGAAGTTGAGCGAACAAAACGTTACGGCGAGCGTTTTTATTTTAAAACAATACGCCACCGACCGAGCGTTCTCCTAGCAAAATATCCTCGTTCCATCCATCGTATGTACATTTTGGAAATTATTAACAGCCGCTACATGCGTCGGGAATAAACGCGTAATTATTTAGTTTCCAAATATATATTCGAGACGGGCAATTTGATCAAAATGTGAAAATATATATATATATCGAGAACGTTGCGTTTCCGTACTGACGAATTTCACCACACGTGTGGCAAAAATATTAACAATTCGTCAACGATGACAGAGACGCATCGTCGTGGAACCGTTTTGTTTAACGCGCGGTGTCCTCTCATCGGTTGTACCATTAAGGAAATATGATTCACAGATGAAATAGAGTTAATCCCGGCTGACGAACCCACGTTGAAAGCCCGGTTCGCGTAATAATATCCGCTTGTAAAATCCCAGTTACGTGGATATGTGACGAGGAACGAAAATAAACGAGATCGACAGAAAGGGTGAGGAGGGGAGGGAGATCCGACGTGTCGAGCGGACGGTGAGACGTGTGCAATGGTTCAACGTATGAAGGTGGTAGCCATGGCTACCTGTCGCCGAGAAATTGCACGTTTATGCAGATGTTCCAGACACCGGAAAAAAGAGCGACGTGGAAAGGATGCCGCGAATCGGAATGCGGCATGGTTTTATCGATTCCTTCCGACACCAGACCCGACAATCGACCAGTCCTGTCGTGTAAAATGAAAACCACCCGACACCGAGTCGAGGCAGCTGTAAAATATTTCCTTGCCTCTTCGCGATCTCACGGAATTCCTTTAAGCATCTTTCGATTCTGTTT